CATTGAGAAGCTCCATGTGGTTTACAAATATGAAAGAATTAAGCCTCTTGACTCCCTTATGAGAATGGGGAAATCCAATGTCAATCCTCCTCCACTTGCACGTGTAAGGATGTGTGCACATGCCAGCTGCTTTGCCCATCCCGTGCTGTCATGACAGTTTCTCACATGGACTCAACTGCTGTGGCTGGCGGGATTAACCTTGGCCCAGCTGCAGTGAAGGCACTTTGGTTAAATAATCTCTACACAAATTGCCCAGATGAGGGATGCTTGCTGCAGCTCTGGGAATTGGGAAGAGAAATCCTCATGATTGATATTGAAATTCCCTGCATAGCTTTAGTGGCACTACAGTAAAACAGATAATTAGTCATATTATTGATCTTGCTGATAGATTCAGTCTAACAAGAAGGTCAGCTGCACTTGCTCTCACAATGGGGGCTGTGTGTGCGCACATGTGCCTGCTTGTCCTATTTTAATCAGTAGCAGAATATCTTCTCATAGGTCAGTGATGGCTGCTAGCAGTCCTGTCCCCACTCTGGGCTTTCGACTTAAAGAGAAAATAAACAGATTGCAGTAACTGGAAGGCCTTTGATTATTCATTGTTGCCACTTTGGCCTCAGTAATTTAGGAGGAATCAGTTGAGAGCTTGATAATAAACAATGGGTCAGATCCTCAACTGGTGTAAATTGCTCTGTTGAATTCAGTGTAGCTATCCAAATGTACACCACCTGAGGATCTGGCCCTAACTATTTAATCCCGAATTTGGCTTTTGCTGAGCCCTAAACTAATATCTGCTTTCATTCTATATGCATAGCTAACCCTCACCTTCCTTCTTCCCTTTTCCTCTGGGCTGCCGTATTGAGCCTCCCCCGCCTGTGGCCTTGTGCATCTCATTTCCCCCCGTGGATGTGCCAGCAATGCATTTTGTAGCTCATAGCTTCCGACCTGCTCTCGGTGAATCCTGATGACATAACAATGGAACTTTGAAGCCGTCATTAGCTCATTTTCTACCACCCAGATCCTTCGACTCCCTAACATTCCAAATACCTTGATTTTTGATTGGCCCCTCAGGGTATGTCTATGCTGCCATTAGACACCCATGGCTGGCCCAGGTCAGCTGATTCAGGCTCGGGCTAAGGGGCTGTTTAATTGCGGTGTCGATGTTTGGGGTCCGGATGGAGCCTGGGTTCTAGGAACGTGCAAGATGGGAGGGTCCTAGAGCCTGGGCTCCATTCTGATCCCGAACATCTACACCACAGTTAAACAGCCCCTTCCCTGCAAGCCTGAGTCAGCTGGGACATGCCAGCTGCGGGTTTTTAACTGAGCTGTAGCCATACGCTAAGTGCATAGGCACCGCAGTGATGGGTGGTTAGGAATATGTAGACAGAAAGACATCACTTTTCTGCTATGACCATGGAATGTTCCATTTTTATAGTGACGTGGGAGGTCAGAAGTCAATAAAGCATGTATCAGAACCAACTTTTGGCTCTACACGCCCTTTACACCGCTGGTATTCTGGAACCCAATTCAAGCCCCATCATAAGCTAGAGCAGCTCTGGGTTTGCTCTAATTTACACCTGGACAGCAACACTCCCTGAGGGATCTCATCTAGCAGCCCAGGAGAGCCAGACTGTAGAGGTGCACTACTATAGTACACCCTTTCCTCCTTAATACAAGCTTGAGCTCAAGTGGAGGATTGGTATAGGGCCATTATCCTGGCTCTGTGCCACAGGGGGAATCCCCTCGTACGGGGCAGTCAGGTGAGAAGATGTAGCTGCTAAAACCCAGAATCAAGTTACTATTTCCCAATTCCTATTGTTCTCTCTGTACACAGTTCTGCAGCCGCAGTTAGAGTAGGGTATGGCTGGGAGGGGGAGAGCAAAGGAATAAAACTTATACCAGCTCAAAATGAAAAGCAGTCCCAAAGGGACCTGTAGGGTTACATAACTGAGTGGAACAGCATTACAGTAACCAGCAAGGAATTCTAAACCCTGCCAGATTAATGGGCATCCAGTGGGCCTGCAATAAAGCTCCACCCCCTGTCCTGACTCTGACTAGGAAATTGTATCCATTACACTATGTGAGCTGTGCCAGAGGCCTCCTAACACGAGGAATGGGGGCTTTAGTTAGTGACTGACCGGATTCCCAGACATGTAGACAAGGCACTTGATGAAAATATACACCCAACATTCCATACTGATTAGGGATGTCTGTGGAAAGCTACTGACCTTGGGGAGTTCTCTTTGCCTCCAGCACTAAATGGGCCCCAAAATAGAAATATGCAGCATCTTCCTGAAGGGGCACAATGTAATCTACTTGGCTGTGCTTGCTGTCTCACAACCCAAACAATCCTTACATGTGTCCAGTGAGTTAGAATATACATTGTCATGGCCTAATAGTCAGAATCTGTCACTGACCCAACATATGTTTTACTGGCTGAGGTTGTATAACCCGACATATAACCCCCTCTCCTACAAAGCCAGTCCTCCTGAGCTATTGTGTTCCTCTTTCACTCACTATGGTTATTGTTTCACAGAGTTTTGCATATGAATAACAATAATTAGTACTTTCTTCAGAAATCCTCCTCCTTCCAGGATCTCAAAGCACTTTGCAAACTTCACAATCCCCCTGAGAAGGAGGTCCCATTACCTTCTCTTTAAAGAGAAGAAACAAAGGCTTGGGAAGATTAACTAACTCGCCCAGTGTCCCACAGCAAAGCAATTGTAATATTTGTGAAATTGCAGTTTTCCTGGCTCCTAGTCCCCTGCTTTCACCACTGGACAGCACTCCCCCCCTTCTTCCATGTGTTGGCATTATCACGATATTCTTTGTTTGTTCCTACATCTATTCCATTTGTGACGTCGTGAGTACAGCCTTGTTTTTTATTCTGGGTGATTTATAAAGTTCTTTTTATTAGCTTAGTGCAGCTCTCTTTAGCAGATGTCCAGATATTTACATTACAAGGCAGGGTGAGCTGTCTAATTACATAACGCAAGTGGCACTGCACTAAGAACAACAGGAAGAAATCCTGTAGCAGGGAGATCTGTTGTGAAGGGTCAGATCAAAAGGTGAAACACACAAGAACTGATGTTCTCAGTTAAAGGTGATGACTCCTAATCTGTCCTATTGGCATTGCCCAGAATACTCGTGTCAATACCCAGAAGGTTCTGGGCTGGGAGCATCCAAGGGGTTCCTCTCATGTGGCAGATGTAGCATATTTAGTATCTGGAAATAGAATCCTAATCATTCTAGTCCCTATCAACCCTTGCCAAATGTTGTATGGAGCAGCCACAATGTTAGTCCGCTTGCTTAACCATCTAGGCCTGGATGAGAAAGTGCCACCAAGGTGGTCAGCCAGAGTAAATATCCCAAAGGAAAGGGATGGGGCTTTGCAAAAGTACAGGTGCACAGGTGGGAAGTGGTCTACTTTGGTGGAAGTCCAAGCTTTCCATGAGCAAGTGGAATTGCTTCCTGAGTCAACCTGCCCTTTTTCATTCATTAAAGTCTGGCAGAACTTTTCCATTAAAATTGGAGGGGAAGAGGGAACAAAAAAACCCCAAACCCTGCAAAGGTAAAACAAATGCGGTAGCTATTGTGATGTCTGAACGCTGCAGTTGTATGCTTTCCCTGGTGGCTGAATCAAGGGGCAGCATTGTTGGTGGCCAGACTGGAGGGAACGAGCAACAGCAGTGGACAAGATAAAAAACTAGGAGGAAAAACCTGTCCCGAGAGAAGAGAGAGGAGGCCCTGTCCATAGAAGAGACAACCACAGGTTGACAGAGCCCATCTGCAACAAAGAGCACGGAGTGATCTAGTTAGTAACTGTGGGGAGAGCTGGGTCCGTGCATGCTGGAAAGTCTCTTTCACTGGTTCTGAACATCAGCATCACAAATACTTTGTCTGTGGCTGATTGGCTGCTGAAGCGTTGGGTTAAATAGGGTACGGTATTGTCAAAAAAATTCTATTGTCGTGAGTGGGAGTTGCATTTAATTTCTATAAACAGAGAACACATGCTGCGTCAGGGAAGATGTAACATACATATCCCAACACAAATGGGTTGTGTACTGGTCTCTGCAAGTGAGTTGTCATGAGCGAAGATAAAGTCCTGTGGGACCAAAACTCTTATGTAATGTGTGCAACTTGTGCAATTTCACCTCCTTCCACATTTTTGCAGGGATATATTTCTCATTTATTTTATTTATTGGATCAAAATCTTACAACCATCAAATTGGCTTAACTGGAAATGGAAAGGTTTTCAGTGGAATCCAGGACTTTACTATTGGTGAACCTGAAATGATTCTGGGAGTCAGATAAATAGACAAACGTTCAAATGATGCTGGTGGTCCCAATCATTTGAACTTTTATTGATCTGGAAAATGGGCTGGAAATCTTGCAAGAAATGTCTCTCTCATCAGATTTCTTGCTGGATGAACAGTTCTGCAGGAACAGCCTCACTCATGGGATTTTGGTGCATCTGCTTCAGGACAAAACCAGGAAGTGCCATGAAAATGACTCTACCTGGTGCTGCTTTGTGACCAGGCATAGCATTGATTGGCCCTGTCTTGAAGAGCTTACAGTCAGCTTCTCTGTGTTTGTAACTGCCTAGAACAATGGTTGGTCCTTAGCCACTACTGTAATAAATGTAAGATTAATAATGCTTCATATGGCCTGATGGTTCATTCCAATGAAGAGACATTCGCTTAAACTGCTGTCCATGTGCACATGGCCATGCAGCATGGAAGGGATTAAGCTGAAAAGGCCTGCATTCTGCCTCTCAAAAATCTGTGCTCCACTAGATTTCAGGCTAACCCTTGCAGTGGCTTCAGTGGGTATCTGCCTTCTGATAGGACAGCAAGTTTTGGTCCCTGGGTTTTATATATTCATATTTGTCTTCAATGGGACTATCTGGGAGAATCAAGTGGCAGTGCAGTGGGAAGCACAGTTGGAGTCACAAGATCACTCCTGGATGGAAGGTGCTGGAGGGGGAGTGTATTCAAAGCCTAGACAGGCGGTAAGGAGCCTCTGCTTTCCAGAGGCTCTTTCAGCCCACTGAAGAAGCCAGGTTGATGCTGAACTCTGGAGGAAGCAAAGTCCAGGCCAGCCCTGCTGGGTTGGAGAATCTCCAAAACATGGATCTTTGAAGGGCGTTTGGAGGGTCATTATAGGCAGAGCTGGTGGTGTCCTTTATGACTCCTAGATGTCTATAAACCTACAAAGGAAAAGAAGCATGTCTGCAGAGGTGGTACTGCTCAAGTCTGTTAGTGAGAGAGACAGAGAGTGCATTAGCCCATCATGAGAGTAAATCCAACAGTCGGTGGAACACTGAGTGACACTCATTTTTCTGTTATTAAAGAGCAGGTGAAAGGTGCTGAACTGACAGCCCTGAAAAATGAAGTCTTCTAGGCCATGGAGCAGACACAGTACAGGCAACAGAAGGGGAAGGTAAGTTTTCCCCATTCTGCCACCTGCAGATCTCCACCAGTGGGAGCCCCTCCAGGGCAAGAGGGGAGTATAGTCGGCCTGGTTCATTCCAAACTTTACTTCTTGTAAGGAACCTTCACTATGAAAAGTGGGAGAAACTGAAAACCCAAAAATCAGAATCAGGAAACAGACCCAGTGAGCCAGGAAGCACGCTCAGGGGTGTGCTGCAGGGGAGGTGTGGGGAGCGACAACAGGAAGCTCAGTCTGGTTGCTCTTTCCTGCTTCAACAAAGATGAGATGGGGACAGCACCGCTGTACTGTTAACTCTGTCTCATATTCACTACATAAGAGCACCAAGCCCAGAGGAATGAACAAAGCTGTTCCCAAGAGGCAACAGTAAATTTGTAGATTTTCTAGTCTTTTTTTACTATTATTATGTATTCATTTATTACACTGTGGAGGAGAGTTGTGACTTCCCAGCTCTGTTCAGGCTGCAACAATGGTACCAGCTGGGATGGGAGCATCTGCCCACTAGTAGCTGGACTGACCCCCACATTAACAGGGTGCCAGCCTAACACTCTGTATAGGAAGGTTGAGCTCTTCTGTTCAGTCATCCTAGGCTTGGATGCTAAAACACTGTTAACATTTGGGGTAATTACTGCTGAGCCTTGCCAACAAGTGAGTGGAGTTAGCTACAGCCAGGATACAAGGGGAGCAGGGCCTGTCTCTTTGGATCCGAGGAGGAAGCTTAGGTTTAGATTTTGTTAGTAGTTTTGATTTACCAATAAAGCCAAATCCCTGGAAGAGGGTGAGTTTGAACACTCGACTCAAGGTCTGTTGAAGCTGGGGTAGGGATTCAGACAAAACAGCTAATAGATGGTAACTATTATAGAGGAAATCGGTAGCCCCCCCTCTGTTTAGGTTTAGGAGGTGATTGGTCCTTCAAATCCCACAAAGGGGTCTCTTCTCTGATCACAAGTTCATAACAGCCTCAGCTCAAAACTAGCACACTCAGGAAAAGTTTAGTCAATCCTTTGTACAGGTCAGGAGTCTCTGATCTGAAGTCTTCAGGAGCCAGGTGAGTAGACAAGGTTTTTTTTTTCCCTCCAGGGTGTAGTTTCAAGAGGCTTCCCAACTACTTTACAGGTATTGTCCCAAACAGTTCTTTGAAGTTTCTAACATTTCCCCAAGGTTTACATTAGTCACTCCCCTGGAAAAATTACATACAATCCTACAGTAGCACACAAACAATAGCATTTTTAATACAGTGGACCCCAATGATATTCAACTTAATTCAATAATGTTTAACTTAATTCAGTAAGTTTTATCCAAGATATTGCAGGAAATTGCCTTTTGTCAACATCTCCATTGTTTGCCATGGGCAAATGGAGAGCCCTGGGCCAGATAAGTGCTTTTTTTAATTTTCTCCTACCAAATTCTCTTTCAATCAAATCTGAATGGAAACTTCTGAAAATCACTATTTCCCTTCTGTTGCTTGTGTTGGCAATACAATATTGGCAGCATGCATTCTAATCTCAGGGCTTGTGTACCTGCGGAAAATAAATGGCAGAACTATGGCAGCATAATTACACCACTGTAGCTATGTCAGTATAACTGCCCGTATGAATATTGTATTTTGGAATAAAAGTGACTTTATTTCACTCTAATTATTTTGCTTTGGAAGTCAGTTTCCCCATGTGGACAAGTCCTAAGATTGAGGCCATGCACTGGCCCAAGCAGCAGCGCACATGGTACTGGGACCCTTAGGAGCAGATAGCTTCCTTTGAGTAGAGAGAACTAGACCAGGCTCTCCTTGCCTACCAGCACGTGGCCCAGCCTCCCCTCTCCCCGGGACACCACATGGGGAAGGAGCTCCCCTCACAATCGGGGGTGGGGAGAGGGAGAGCAAGCACCAGGCTCGGCTCCCCTGACCACCCTTTCCCCCCAGTATAATAGTCTTCTGCTGCTGCCAGCTAATGTAGCTAGTCCTGTTCAAGCTGTGCTGAAGGTTGAGGGTTCACACCCTACTAGTGGATGCAGGCTGGCGAGTTGCTACATTTGCATATAACACAATTTGTTTTCATCTTTTTAGTTTAAGAAAAACATCCTAGGAAATTCCATAAAACAAACAAAAATCCTATGTTAAAAGAATATTTAATGAGGCAGGGATCCTGGGGCAAAAATAGTATGTGATCATGGAGCTGAAGACTACCCTTTTGTAGAGGGGGGTTGAATTAAGATTGCATGAGACATTTAATTCTGACATTTCCTAACTTTGGTGTGTGCTTGACTTTGCAATCTAAATAATGTTCTTTTAACACTTTTTTATATGTAATTATTCTTTATATTATAGTAGCACCTTGGGCCTGCACTGTGATAGGCATTGTATAAACACTCAGTAAGAGACAATCCCTCCCTTAAAAAGCTTACATCATAAATAGACAAAATTGGGAGAAAGGAAGTCATATTCTCCCCCATTTTACAGATGGGGAACTGAGGCACACAAAGACTTTCACGCATCAGCAGGCTGGGTTGGTATCATGGGGTGGCTGGTCCTTCAGGCAAGTTGTTCTCAGCCTTCCCATGCCTTAGCACAGGGGTTCTCAAACTGGGGGTCGGGACCCCTGAGGGGATCGCAAGGTTATTACATGGGGGGTCGTGAGCTGTCAACCTCCACCCCAAATCCTGCTTTGCCTCCAGCATTTATAATGGTGTTAAATATATTAAAAAGTGTTTTTAATTCATAAGGGGGGTCGCACTCAGAGGCTTGCTATGTGAAAGGGGTCACCAGTAAAAAAAAAAGTTTGAGAGCCACTGCCTTAGCAGCTATCCAATGGAAGTTGGTCCAGTAAAAGATATCACCTCATCCACCTTGTCTCTTTAGAAGCTATCCGTCAGCCTCACTCTTGAGCTGGCAACATAAGGTTAATTATACCCCATTTTGGTATAAGGGGGCTTAATTAGAAATAGTGATCCCCAGTCTGGTGGTGAAGCAGGGAGTGTGCTACTTAAATAGAGCTGGGAACTCAGCAGATAAAGGAAAAATCTGGCTGGAGGAATAAGGGGCTGTCCCCTCTGGGAAGAGCTTGAGGAAGTCAGGCTGTCATCCACTGAAGTAGAGTAGACTCCAGTGGAAGGGAAGCCCTGAGATAGGGCCTAAAAGGATCAAGGAGATCCTCCCGCAGAGTCCCTGCTGAAGGGGGAATCCTGCTGGGGAAGAAGCAAAATAAGAGAAACTCTGCAGGTCCAGAAGAGGCCACGGAGCAAAGAACTTTAGTGGAGTCTGAGAGGAGCAGAAGATCTATTAGTTTGGGCATTTGATTTAGACTTTAAGCTGGATCTTTTGTTACCCTGGAAGGAGAGTGAACTGTTAACCTGATTTGGCTGGAAGGCTGAGCCACAGAAAACCCAGGAAGGGCGTCAGGAGAAGACACCAGCAGGGACTGGCTATCACAGGCAAGGAAGTGGCCAACAGGACAGGGAGGGGTACAAAAGGTGAAGTTCCCTGCAATGCTGCATCCAGGAATGAGGGGGCACCCTAAAAGTAAAGACATTCCCTCTTACAGCTTGATTTTCATTAGTGAGCAAGAGAACCAAGGCTCCATAGTTCAATACTCTGCTCAGTCAGCCAGTCTTTCTATAATTGACTTCAGAAGCAGTGTAGACTTGAGGTCTCCAAGCTTTTCCGGATCATAGCTGACAAAATAAAGTCTTAAGTTGCACATTATAGATTTATTAGCGATTCCCTGGATCTGATCACCACAATTAAAATGAGCTTAGAGTGGAGTACACAGGAGCGCCGCCAGCTTTTCTGCCGCCCTAGGCGGCGGATGGTCCCGCCCTGAAATGCCGCCCCCCACAGTGGCAGCGGAAGGTCCCGCTGCCGAAATACTGCTGCGGTCGCCGCCCCCCAAATTGTAGTGCCCTAGGCGACCGCCTAGGTCACCTAATGGGTTGTGCCGGCCCTGGGAGTACATATTATCTATTAATTACAGCTCCTGGCAGAATGATTCACCTGTGATTCCTCCATGCCCTAGCTCATTAAAATGGCAGCTGTCTGCCTACCCACTCCTGCAACTTTAGAGAAATCCCAGAGCAGAACTCGGAGCCCAGATTCTCAGTAAACAAAGGCCTGACATGTGCACCATCCACGACTCATTCATCAGGTTGTCATTGCCCAGACAGCTGTCTTTGCTTCTGATCTGAAGAGAAATTAGTCTTTCAGTCATTTATTCTTTTTCCAGTGGTTTTGTTATAATTATTATTTCATGACTCTGCCAGGGTTGAGAATAGAATTGAGTGCATTTCTACCACACTCTGTTCTAAAGTGCCTCTTTACAGCATATTAGAGAGACAAGATAGGTGAGGTAATAGCTTTTTAGTGACCCAGCATCTGTTGGTGAAAGAGACAAGCTTTCGAGCTACACAGAGCTCTTTTTGACAGCATGGCACTGTCAATCTGTCCTGGTGACTAAAACATGCGCTGTGATCCTTTTGTGTATTGAATCAAACACAGCCCAATTAACCCTCTTATCATCTAAGAAGAATTTGTTTGGAAAACAACACAATGTGTAACAATCCAAGCCCCAGAGAGCAAATCACCATGAATGTTGTGCTAGCCACATCCTGTAGCTAGAAGAAGGGGTTTTGGGAGATAGGGAGGATCACAGGATTAGGAAAGTGCTATAACGGATTTGAACAGGGTTGATTTGGTGAGCAGGTCCCTGGATTTTATTCTGCCATCTTGTGTTGCAGAATCTCAGATAGTTTTAAAGCCTTTTTTTAAATTATAAGGTCTGGTCTACACTTAAAGGTTAGGTTGGCATGGCCAGTACTTAATTTGTAATGAAAGAGCAATTAGGTGCCAGAGATCAAGCAATTTTTTTATTTTCGTAACTGATGCGGCAAGCCTAGAGGTGCCGGGACAATGAACTGCCAAGCCCAGAGGTGCTGGGACAATGAATTGCCAAGCCTAGAGGTCCTGGCACAAATTAAGCACTGGGCATAGCTATAGTGTTTCAGGGTGAATTCACAGCCCTGAGCACCATAACTATGCCAACCTAATCCCTGCTGTCCATCAACCTAACTACTCTTGCTTGGGGAGGGGGAGCTCCTACAATGATGGAAGAGGTTTTACAACAGCCTAGCTATAGCATTGTAGCTGTGCTGCTGTAACACCTGTAGTGTAGACATGCCCTGACTATGGCAAAAATATCCTTCAGATAGTGAACTGAAGCTATCCTCATCTGATAGCTCTTCACTGTTGTATATAAAAGGAGTGGGTCCTAGTACCTCGGTTATATGTGCTCTAAGAGCCCTATTACCATGATGCTGCCTTTTGTTGACAGTCTCAGCAGAGAAGCCAAACACTGAATGTGCATGAACTTCCTGTTAGAGGGTTTTCCCTTTGGATTATAGATAAGGCCCAGTGGGGGAAGGAGAAGCTTGCTCTGCTGCTCCCCATGCTGTATAAGTTCTGTGGGTGAACCAAAGAGTCTTTAGTTTCCACAACTGTCAACCTGGCACTTTTCACCAGCTCTCAAAGAAAAGGTAGGTGTTTGCAGAAGAAAAATATGGTTTGTTTTGTGAGTGTGCCACTCCGAGAAGCAGACACTTTTGAGATTGTCTGGATCAATAAAATGCCTCAGTGCTAATGCTTTGTACAAGGTGCATCTCCCTTGTTTGGGCAAAAAGATCATTTTCCTGGAGCTCTCGCCTCCGTTAAGAGCTAAATGTCTTTTATACAATGACAAGACAGAGCCCAGGGTGAGGGTTCAAAATAAGAATTATAGGGTCACCTGGAGTGCCAGGCTACCAAAGGCTTGATCCAGTGGGGTCACCTGCAGGGCCAAGCAACTAAGGCATTGATATTGTATCCATGTCTCAAAATGTAACCAAGTCATTAGCTAATGACAGAGCTGAGAGGTGCAAGAGGACTTGGAGAAGGATGGCAGCTGTTTAGAAAAGGAACATGAGAGCAATGGAGCAATGAAGGGAAGTGTGGGGACTGAGAGGTGAGACACAATATTGCACCCGCCAAATGAGGCCTGGTGTTAACATCTTATTACAGTCATGAACTGCATCAGGGAAACTGATCATAGGAAAACTAGATGGGTTATGGCATCTGGGGGACCTCCATAACCTGGACTGTGCTCACATGAATCTACATAAGAAGGTCAGAGGGAGGTGCAATCAGGAACAAGGTGTGAGGAAACCTAATACTGCCATTAATAATAATATAATATACTCACCCCTCTGGAAGTATAATAGTCACACATAGGCAATGGGCTCAAACGGCTGCACTTCTGCATCCACCACCCAATGACAAATAAACACAAATCAGACATGCACTTTGAGGCAATTCCATGATTTCTAGTGCATCCATGCCCATGTAAACAGTAACTGCCAATCTAACAAGCTATGGCCATACTCCACAGCCACCCATCCCAGGCAAAGGTCTGAGAGAACAGAATTTAGAATAGAATCTTAAAACAGCCAACAAAAGTCACCAGTCTTGGGAAAGCAAATTCCAGAGCCAAAGGCTTCTACTGAGAATAATCTGCAAGGTTCCAAACAGACAAATCTGGAGACTCTTAACAGAAGCCCTTGAGCTAATCTCACTATTGCTGCAACATAAAAAATGGGGAGGGGGGAAGATCTGAGGTTAAAAAAACCCAAGGCCTTTAATTATTATTTATATTGTGCTGCATGTGTGTATGGTGCTTTTAAAACAGATACAGCTGAAAGATCCCTCCCCTGTAAACCTCATTTGTGAAGTGACACTGCATATTTCCAAATAGATAGCCACTAAGGAACATTTGCTCTTTGTTGTACGCTTGAGATAGGAATTCACAGGTCAAATGTGGGAGATGAGATGTGAGATGCATGCCATTCCATAGCATGCTCTGGCTGTTCACAGTAGTGCCACAGCATGTGATATGTAGGGATGCTATGAAACGTCTAAGCATCGCTTTTGGTACAGAGTTCTTTACTGGGTGCTTTGTGTGACAAAATGTTTTTTACCACTTTTAGTTTCCTGACCTTTTATGTATTTAAAATTAGCACAACATGCTAGTAATTTATACCTATGTGGACATGTCTGATCTCATGACTAAATTAGGGCTAACAAAAAAAATCCCAATTAATTCTGAGAGTAAAAAAATAGTTGTGATTAATCACCGTTTTAATCACACTATTCAACAATAATAAAATACCCCTTTAAATTTATTAAAACTATTTTTGGATTTTTTTCTGCATTTTCAAATATATTGATTTCAATTACAACACAGAATGTAAAACTGGTTTTCTATTATTGTTTAACAGTTTGATTAAAACTGATTGTGACTATTTTTTAAATCTAGTTAGTTTTGCATTAATTGCATGCATTAACTGCGATTGATTGGCAGCCCTAGACTAAATAGATGGCAGAGAGAGTCTGTTGCTTAGTAAACTGAACTGCAATAATCTTATTATTTTTATTCGTTTTTTATATTCTTTCCAGGATGGCAGCTTTATTGTCATAGGTCCATTAATAGGGTTGCAGTTGGGCCCCCATCATTGTGACTTCACAAAGCATTAGGCCTAGTGCATTTTTTACAATAGGGTGATCACTCAGGTTGAGTCACAGTAAGAATCTGGGGAGCGAGAACAGGAATGAATGTTCCCTAAAGGTTTAGGAGGAATGAGATGGGATTTTACCAACATAACAGGAGCAAAAGTAGGACTAAAAAGTAAGATCATCTTTACGTGTTCTGTATGACTCTGTTACAGCTTTTGCTTCAACTGGCTGCAGATGGGCTCTCAGAGGGATGGTGAGGACAGGAACACTTGCACCTGCTGGACCACTAAGGGGATTGTAGCACAAAGGCCCATGGCATCATGTGACAGGGTATGCTGGAGTGCTGGGTACCGCACCTCACCCTTGTGTACAACCTGCGAGCTAGAAGTGGAGCAAGCGAGTCAGCAAACCAAAGGAGGGCTGGCTGGCCACATCCATTGCTAGGCCAAAGCCTAGGAGAACCAGGGCTTACGGGGTCCAAGGAAGAGGAGTTGCTAGGACCCCAACACTATGTGGGCACCGTGGCCCTGCTCTTGTAAGTGGAGGGCAGCCCCCCACCGGGCACGCTCAGGCGGCATCTCCCTGCCAGCCCCGCTTAAAGCCCAGCTTCCACCAGCTCTTCCCTCCTCCCCTTGGCCTCAGTCAGGTGGCACGCGCTGCCTGGCCGCCAGCTCCGGCGGCCCTAGCAACAATGCCTCTCGCGGGCACCCAATCAGCGGGCAGCTGCCTCCGCAGAACCAATGGGAAGAGGGGGGGCAGAGGCGGGGCCAGGCCGCAGGGAGCTGCCCTGCTCGGCGCCGCCATTTTGGCTTCAGAGAAACAAAAGAGCCGAAGCGGCTGGCCGCGGGGATCTGAGATCCAGGTAACTTGCCCCTCCCGCCCCCGTTCGGGCCCCACCGATCCTCTCCGCCCCCCTTCCGGCAGCTCCCCTCGGCTCCTGCAGTCCCGAGCCCCCCGGCTCCTGGGCCCGGCCCCTCCCAGTCCCCACAGCGGTTCGGGCGGCCGCGCCCGGCCCCGGAGGCGCTGACAGACCGCTCGGTAGCCTGGGTAAGCGGGGCCGGCCTGTGGAGGTTACGCGCCTCCCACGGGGACCCCGAGCCGGGCCAGCTGAGCTAACTGGATCCTTGTCCCCCCGGTCGGGCTGTGCTGGGCTGCGGGTCCGCAGAGCTCTGCGTGTCATTACTGGGGCAGTGCAGGTCCTGCCTCCCCGTGGGACGCGGAAATCCCCAGCATTCCCCCCCCTGGGCGTTGTAACCCGCCGCCCTTGCTGCCTAGTCCCCCCGCACGCCCCGATCCGCCCCTGACTTCCCCTCGTGCGGCTGGCGTTGGTGCCGTGCCAGGCATACCCAGAAGCATGGGGCTGCCTCGTCCTTGTGTTTGGCTGATGCACACACAGGGGTCCCACTTCCACCCCCCTCAAAGAGATGCTCGTGAGCCCCAGTTTCTTTGCGTGCGGACTGGCTTCATGTTGCACCGGGTTTCATTCAGTGAATGCATTTTCCTCTGTAGGGGTTCGGGAGGAATTTATAACTGAGGGGTGGGAGCACTTTTAGCACCCGAGCATCATGCTTATGAAGGGGAGCATTCCTCTTCACTCCCTTTCCTTCGCCCCCAAACAAGTTTCTGGATGTCATTAAATTGTGAGGTAGGCAGAACTTCTGAGGCAACAAAGCCAGGGTTTTACAAAGCGTGGTTTTATAGTAAGAGTAAAGGTGGATAGTTTTTCCATATTCAGTGTTACTTACCAATATGGAAACAATATTGCTTACCTGCTAAGATAGTCGGGGGAGAAGGGCTGTTTTTATTGTTGTTGAGTGTAGTGGATACAAATTAAATTTAGTATTTGCTCCAAAGCCACTGAAAAATTGCAGAAATGGAATAAGGTAATTACATCTTTTGTATAAGGAAACACTTCTTGATTTAAATAAATATTTGTTAATCGTAATTCCAAAGTATTACACTGCATGCAGTAGAAACCCTGTTCTACAAATGTTTTGTAAAATCAAGGGCTCATAAAATTGAGGGTGCATGTAATAGTGTTCTCAGGCACAGAGACAAAAAGGCATTTTGGATTAAGTGAGGTTTTGTAATTCTGGGGTTTGTAAAATGTGGTTACTGTTGTATTAACATTGCTGCCAAAATAAACTCCTGTTGTAGTTATGTACCAAACAAACCATCCTGTTTTGGGCCTTGCCTTCTCTAGAAAGAAATAACCCATTAGCTAACACATGTTAAAGTACACCTTTCTTTTCTAGTGTAGTCATACACTGAATTGCCATATAGTGATGGGCTTTCTTCTTTTTCTTTGATACAGCAGGCAAATATATTCCACGGTTATTTCAAAACCAATATCTTAATAAATGAATCTTGTGTTCTTATCCTTTGAATATTCCAGAAAAGCTTTGAGGAGAATGGCTCTAAAGATGCAGAGTTGTTTTTGGTGCCTCTTTCTTATGACAAACATTGAACATAAGAGATTGGCTCTGGAAATTAAAACTAATGTGGGCGTAAGATATTTTTTAGTTTCAAAAGCTTCAGACACCCTTTGATTTTGAAACTTGATTGATCTTATTCAGTAATTATGTAGCTATAAACCCATTGGAGAGCTGCTGCTAGGAATATGTGGGAGTTGTGCATGCTGAATTTGAAGCTTAAAAAGAGAAACTAAAAAGAGGATCTTTGAACTGAGTCCATTTTGTTTCGTATCATTTAGTTCTCACTCCATTTACAAAGTTATTTAAATTGAATATGTTCCTATTTTAAAGTCAGACTTGTGTATATATATATATATGTTACTTTTGTGTATCTTGCTTTGTTATATTTTGGAAGTATTAAAGCTTGGAAACTGGTTAGGAATACATATTACGGGTAACACAATTTCTTCCTCCTCTCTTACCCCCTCCACCCCCCCAGTGAAGAGGAGAATTTCAAATTTATCAGACACCCATTTGCTAGAGGTTTTAAAAGCCCATTCTGTCTCATGGGTGTGATTCGTAAAATCAAAAAGTTTGTGAACTTAAAAATTGGATGTAACAGTCCATGAATTTTGGTGATGATTAAACCTGGTGAAAATCTAAACAAGAGGAGTTCTCAACCATGCCTGTAGCTGTTTCCATCACTTCACACTGACTCAACAGATATTCTGAGCTTCAGAGTGACTCAGAGTGACAGCCCTAGAAGTTTATTAGGTAGATGGAGACCCTTGAGCAGGGTTGAGGAGCACCATTCTAGAAAGAATTCCAGCATCTGGGGTGAGGCCTGAGCTTCCCGCTAGGGCCCTATGCCTAGACCTTGCTGTTGTACCTCCTTATTTTTGTATCTTCCTCTGCCTAGTAAATGTAACTTAGACAAATGTTTTTGCTTCCTTTTTTGAGATTGCCTTGGTATGTTGGCTGAAGGGGCATGGGCAGCAAATGTCAGAAATGTTACTGTTCTGTGAATACACTGAAGGAAAATATGTAGTCAATTTAGACCAAAAAAAAAAACTAATTTAACTAGGACATAGGAGCTCCAAAGGGATTTTGTATCTAGAAGGGCAAGTTAAATAATAGTATTGGTTGTTTTTTACAGTTTTTTAAAATATTTTTTACACCATTATATTTAAGAAACAAAATATGTGTAGAGAATATTAGTGACTAGGATAAGTAAGACAAGGCTTGTACAGAAAGGAGTGAGTTGCAGGAATTTATTGGAAACTAATATTAAACACCCAAATAATTTAAGTTATGATGGTGATTTCATATAGGCAAGTAGACCATTCATTTATTTAAATGGGCCAGTTTTCTCTAAGGCCACATCTATGTTAGGATTTGTATTACAATAGCATCTAGAGGGTCCAGCCAAGATTGGGGTCCAAATTATGATAGATATTACATGTAACATAGGACAGTCCCCCTGTCTTGAAGAGTTACACTTGAAGAATACAAGTGGTGGGAGGGGAAGTGGAGGCACAGAAAGGTAAAGTGTTTTGCCCAATGTCACAGATAGGTGGTGGCAGAGCTCGAAATGGTATCCTGAATCACCGTCTTGTGGCCTGTCCACTAGACCACATTACCTCCCTTTTGTTACCACTGGTTCATCTACAGCAACAGTGGGAGTATTAATATAGAGGGCTCCAGGTGCTTTCCCACAAGCATTTTAACCACTGTTTCATCTAACCCTGGTAAGAACACGTCTAGAATACACAGTGTCCAAAATCATGGCATCTTAGTTTAGCTTATACCAGTGAAACTGACTTGGTAGCTATAGTGGGAAATTTTAGGAAAAAAATCTTGGTGTAGACAAGGTCTGAAGATACAGTTTTTGTTTAATTGTAGTCCATTGTAATTTGTTGCAATCTTTAACATTAAGCCAAGATATAAATTAAATATTTTCAGGAGATTGTGAGATTTGATAGTGAAGTGCATCATCTGCATTTGATTTTTATTGCTTTCTCTAATGTGTAACTTGTTCTGTAGCTAAGAATATGCTCACAAAATTCAACTATCTGATCAAAAGGCTAAACTATAGCAATATTTAAATGGTAATTCTTATTAATATATTTCTTTCTGGCAGTGCTGTTAAAAGTGCTGCCTTGGTAATTCTACTTTTTTCTTTAACTCTGAGTCAGGAATACAATTTAGGAAATTGGCATTATACTACCTGTCATTCTGTTCATAATGTTAGGGTAGGAGCAAAACACTGTTTCAGAGCCAAGGTCATTTGAGACTAATGAATATTGTGTTCCTGTTGATTATTGTGGCTAGAGCTTATCAGTATTTTTCCATTACATTTGATGAGTTAGCGCTAAATCAATCTTAAACTGGCCCTTTCTACATTAGAATGTGTGATTTGTTGATGTGCAGAGGAACAAGGGAATAAAAATCCCACTAGTTTAGTTCATTCACTTGTCCATTGTTTCATTTGATGATGGTTAGTTTGTCTCTCTTGGCAAGAAGGTGTGATTGGTATCTAGGCAACGCAAGTCCTGCTAAGCATCTCTGCAACCTGCTTGAAGAGATTAAAATTTTCCATTGCAGGGGAAGAGGATTTTTCCTTTGTACCTAAATTCCTTCCTCTGGTTTTCTGTTTTCTGTTCAAGGTTAATGTATTTTTGTAACTATGCAGGAACCATCTGTAAAATACACTGTATAACTGTTTAATTACAATATTTTTTCTGATAATCGTTTTAAGGTATGTTGAGATGTTGTATTACAGATTTTGGTTAGAAACATCTCATCAGAACTTTTTGTTGAGATTTTTGTTAATAGAGGAAAAACACTTCATTTTT